GGGGAGGGTTGAAATTTTGCGGGTTAAAGTAGAACCTGCCCCGCACCCGCCCTGCCCCGCACCGTTTGCCATCTCTAATTTCAAACTATATCCTTTCTGGTGGCCTTGTTGCCCGGCTATTAGTGGAGAAGAGAGAGTTTGAACATATTGGACAAAGAATGTGGTACTTTTTCTTACATAGTTGAGGAGTTAAGTTCCTTTAGCTAATAAAACTCGATTAGATTGTCCTTATTTTAAAAAATAACTAGATTAGATTGTTAGAAATTAAATTTAATTATTAGGTAAAGATTAAATCTTTTCTAGGAATTCATATCTGAGACAATGAAACAAACTGTACCGGTCCCTATATTGTAGTCTCATTCATTCTCTTGAAGGATTTCAGCTACTTGTTTGCCTTTTATTTGGTGCTAAACTGCTACCTTCTGATCTTCTGCTTATTTCAAGTTACAAAATTTCCTAAAATCTTTTCAGTCTGCGTGCAAGTTAGAGATCTCATTGTCTTATTCCTTTCTACTTTATAAAAAGAAGAGAGAAAAACGGGAAAAAATTGTCTTGTTCCTTTAATCCTATTAAAATTAAAACATTTGGATATGGCATTTAGGATGGTATAACAACAACTATGTCTCAATCCTAAACTAGTTGGCGGTTGGCTATATAAATCCTCACTGTTCGTGTCGTTCCATTTAAACCTTTTCGATCTAATATTTAAAACTTTAGGTTCTTTAGCAGTAGTAAGTTTTTACATTTTGTACTGGTATCCAAATCTTTATTAAGACCAAAAAAATCCTAGCTAAAAGTCAACATAATGTAAATGTATTAACATGATTAAAACGATATCCGACTTTCCTACAAAAGAAACTTTATCCAACTATTTGGTATCGCCTATATGGTTTTTTTTATTCCATTGTATCCTAGTTTGCCAAGTCTCATGGGCTCCAAGAGATTGTAGGTCTTTTGTTACTTCATACCATTGTGACTTTTTTCCTATCTTGTCCCCTTTAACACCTTCAATAACTCTGGTTTTTACACCTAAAACCCGGTATCTGGAGGTTGACGTCGATGGGAGAAACAAAATATAATGGATACTTTTGTTTAGATGGCCAGGATTCACTTTCTTTTGCTCTTTTTGGATATAATCACAACATTTTCTTGGTGCTGGTTCTGTACATCAAGAATACTTAACATTCAAAAACATAAAATAATAATAATGAAAAAAGAAAATCTTTTTGGTTTCTTGCCCCCTTCCACCAGTCGATGTTTGATTTGTTAGGTCATGTCTCAGATTGTCAACTCGATCTATCATAAACTATTGTTTGTGCATTATCAGGCATCATATTTGACGGCCTTTCCTTTGTCAAAGAGAATACAGGTACAATAGAAGAAAACTCTTTACAAAGAATTTTGCAATATCAGTCTTTAAAGTTTGACTAAAATCTGATTTGGTTATCGAGTTACATTCTCAATCCTTGACCAATCATCCTAAAATTGTTATGTNAACAGAAGTAAGGCCTCTAAACTGAAGAAACCTATTAACCTGGTGTTCTAGGGCTCATGGATGGGGTTTACATGCTGGATTTTAGTCTCAATAAACCTAATAGTGTAAAGAAGCAGCCCCACATCGACTTTGAAGATTTGATGGTGTTGATAGGAATTAGCCATATACTAGCAAGTGTTTTTTGGTAAATCTAATTACTCAACCCAACAGTGTATTTGGACATAAAGTATCTGCCATAGATCTTGTCATTGTTAGAACAGGTCAGGGGTTCTTTATTTTATTTTCTGTGCAGAGAGGACAACAATGATGGACATTATTTCCATCAGTGAGCTGATAATTTTTTCCTCAACTGACTTCTCTATTCACTGATTGCTATATCCTTTTTGATTTTGAGATAAGTAACTGTCATTACCTTACCTATATTTTGTCGATTAGTCTGCAAACAGCCATTATTTTTCATGCTTTGTTTGAACTCCAATAAAATTAAAAGAAAAGTTGAATTTGGACCAAGTAGCAAAAAAAATGGACACCAGTCATGTAGCAAAAGTTGATTTGACCACAAAAAAAACTCATCTCCCTAGTTATGGTCCTATATGAAACTTAGAGAGACTGCGTTTATACCAAAGAATGCTTTACGCTAGAATGTTTCTCTGAGAAGTTGAGATGCATCTTTTATTTGGACTTAAGAACTCCTAATTATCCATGAGAACAAACAAATTACAATAGCTCCACTTCATTATAGAGGGTTTAAATGTGGTTGAGCATCATCTAAGGTTGATTAGTAGCATTTCTGCCTAACAAATACGATAAAGCAATTGCGAGGTAAGGAGATGGTCAGAACATCACATTTTATGCAAAACTAGGAAACTTTAAGCATCTAAATGTAGAGAAAAAGAGATGTAGTTTGTAGTCTACGCTCCTGAGGAACTTTTTTTTTTTTTTTTTTTTTAAATTTTGATTAACTAACCGTCTCAAAGAAAGAGAAAAGGTATGTGAGCAAAAAAGGGGAAAACTATCAATTAGTCCAGTTAATTGGATGTTAATATTGGTTCTATAGTGCATTGTGCAATTATTTGGCTTTACTTTAGTCAAACAGTCATCAGCTCTATTTGTTTGTTTATGCAGCTGTGGCAGTTGTGGGTATGAGCTAAACCTTAACTCATCTAGTCGCAATACCGCTTCCATTGGTTCCAAGTACGGAAAATCCATAAAGAAAGGGATGATCTCCTTCTTGTCCATTGATGAGAGCAGATTTACTCAGGTTGAAGAATTTAAGTGTGTGCCATTCTTCTTCTCCAAGCGTTCTTGGGGCTTGTTCCAGCGGCGAACAAAACTTCTGTGCAGAAAATGTGGTAATGATATTGGAATTGCTTATGATGATAGTGCTTCTTCTTACCCACTTGTAGCCGATGCATCAGTTACAGCCTCTGGCAGTGAAACAAGCACTCATAGAAAATATGATATCAAAATCCGCTCCTTGCAACCTTCTTCATCAGCATCGGGTACTCCTCTCCCCGAATGATATATAATGCTCGTGAATATTTCTTCTGTGAGGAAAGCTTGGCATGTATTTGTGATCACACAATAGCACTGTGCTGAAATTTACGAAATTCAAGGTGCTTTAATGTCCTGTTATATTATTTGTCAAGTAAATAAGATGAATCAGTTTACAGTTTTGGTTGCAATTTGTACAATTTTCTCGTTCTCTCAATAGGTGGGGAAGCCTTCTGTTGAGAGGTGTGGTTTGTACTTTGTACATAAACAGGACTGTCAATGAGGTGTGGATTTGAAGCAGCTATCTGTCAATGAGGTGTGGTTTTTACTTTGTTCGGGGTTAATTATCCCTTATCCCTCATACCAAACGAGCCCATATCTACTTTTGGAAGGACCGGTCACTTTTTAGAAAATAATATTCAATCAGTAGTGACCCTGAAATGGCTCTTTTCAGTCAACATTCTACTTCTTGTTCTAAGCTTTTAGTTTCTTATGTCTTTTAGCAAAACCATTAAGTTAGGTATGACTAATGCTTCTAAAGTAGAAGTGCCACCAAATTTTCTTCTTCTTTACAAAGTGAAGCTAAAGAGTTAGGCCCAACTATGATATGAATGACAGATTTCAAACTTTGTGGACGTTACGTATGTAGAAGGAATTAAAAAGTTCTGTTCTTGAACGCATATCAAACTTACGGCTTTTTGTGCACTTCCCCTTTAAATGGCATTCGTAGGTCTGTGAGTTTTGACATTCAGGGCAATATTATTAACTTGAGCTTGTTTACGCCCCATCTAAGTATAGACAACTTGGTGCTCTATAAGATTATCTGCCACCGACTTGTTGTACGTCACAATGATAATCCTAATTAGTGTAAATTGCCCGCGCTTGCGCGGTACATTAGTGAATTTAAAAATGATCGTTTCATATATTAAATCGAGATAGAAGACATATTTTTTTTCCCTTAGACCCAAGGCTTATTTTCCCTATTAATAAAACATACAAAAAAAAAGAAGAACTATCTCAATAAGTTAACACGCTATAGAAATTGATCAGAAGGAAAGATTGAACTAGTAACAGTTGAGACTTATATTTTACAATAATCCTCAGAATAGATAAAAATAGGGGTGAAAGGCAAAGAAAAATGAGAAATTATTTCCCATTTCTCTTTACCTTGTGTGTTGGGAGGGAATGGGAATCTAGAGGCCACTCCTTTTGGAAGAAGATTTAAAAAAGAAAAAGAAAAAAACTGTTTTTCGTTTAACATTGCAGAGCCTACATGAAAATATGCTCAAGAATTAATCAAAAAGTAATTGATGGCACAATTAAACAAAAAGAAAAGAAATAGTATTGGGTAAAATATGTTATGGCACGTGGCCGTTCGAGAAAGGGACACGCGGAACCCAAGACGAGAGATGACTGAAGACTGAAGACAACTGTTTCGTTTGTCACCAGGAAGAATAATGCTCATAAAGATGTGATAAATGCTCTTCTCCCGGTAGCATTAAATAGGGAATATTCATGGCATTAAGAGCAGTTACCCGTTACAAGGAATTTGGCATTTATGTTCACCGTTACATCTTCATCAATGCTCCTCATAATTGACATTAAAGAAGGGTACGACCATAGGACCTTCTTCATAGCTATAAATAGTGAGCCCAAGTGTCACTGTAAAGGGGACGACTATTCTAGCAAACTTATACTATATTTTATACAAAACTCAATCCAATCTTAGCTTCTGATTTCTCGATTCTTTTTGTTTTTGTGCCCGGAAACCTTGTCCCGGAATTGTTGCTTCTGTTGTTTCGTCCATATCTTAAGGCTAAGTGTTGCATAATTCTACAATTATTTATTTATTTCAGGATCAAATTAATTCACTTATCTAGAAACCACGTATAAATTCAACTGTACCGTTTTACGAGTAAACAGTTTGACGCCCATCGTGGGGCCTAGATAGCCGTGTAATTAAATTGATCCTTGCCTTTTTTACTAACTCGTTTTGATTGTTTTTGTCTTAGAAAAAATCATAAGAAATGATAGATAACACTGTTAACGACATGCACAACCCCGAGATTCAAGGGGATCAACTTCATTCCGAAGACTCAATCAGCGACACCGATAACGAAGGGAGTGACGGTACACCGGTGCATGACATGCAGTATCCTCGACATATTCGGGGGACCACTCTCGATGACGCTGATGAGGAGCATGTCGTCGACGCGTTAAGGGTCTTGCAGGAGCAACAAACGATCATTTTAGGCCACCTCACGCGATAGGATAGAGTTATGACGTAGTTGAAGCAAGCGTTGTCGGGAGCTTCAAATAATGCAAACATACGAGATCCGATCCCTCTTGTGATTCCCACGAATCAAACAACATGGAGGATCGACAACAACACTCCCAGGGGTGAAATTGGCTCCGATGGGGCAGGAGGGAACGTATCCGGTCTCAACAACGAGAATGATTCTTTCAAGAATAAACTTTTACGGTTCATGAGGGAAGTAAACGACTGTATAGACCAGATCCCGGGAGCACCGCCAATGCTGAAAGGTCCGGACTCGAAGAAGTATACTCAATTGCCGTACAAGCCAAGTGCGACACCAGAGTTGATCCCGAAGCAGTTCAAAATGCCTGAAATGCCAAAGTATGACGGTACTTCAGACCCCCAGGAGCATATTACCACCTACACAATAGCGATAAAGGGGAATGATTTAGCTCCTCACGAAATCGAATCTGTGCTGCTGAAGAAATTTGGGGAAACCTTCACGAGGGGGGCCTTAACGTGGTATTCACTTTTACCCGAGCATTCCATAGATTCCTTTAAAATGCTTGCGGATTCTTTCATCAAGGCTCATGCCGGGACAAGGAAAGTGCAGGCCCGAAAGGCCGACATATTCAGGATAGTGCAAGGAGAGTCCGAGTTGCTAAGAGAGTTCGTTACCCGATTCCAGAAGGAGAGAATGTTGCTCCCGCTGTCCCCGATGGGCGGCTGAGGCGTTCACCAAAGGATTGAATCCAAGAAGTTCAGACGCTTCCAGAAAATTGAAAGAGAGCCTACTCGAGTTTCAAGAAACGACCTGGGCGGACGTCCACAACCGGTACGAATCAAAAATAAGGATCGAAGATGATCAGGTTGGTTTTCCATCGTCGACCAATGGGGGAGAAAAGAATAAGAAAAAATCAAAGGATGATTATGACGCGGACATGCGGACTTCTAAGGGCCGGTTTTCACCTTAGGAACATACCGAAGGCCGCAAATAGAGATTTTCAGACAACGAACAGGTTCACGATCGATAGGAGGACTGATCGTGGTCGGAATAATCGATCACTGCAAGATAAAGAAGTGACAGGGTCACAGGATCTTTCTTACCCCAAATTATCAGAATACAACTTCAATGTCAGTATAGTAGAATTAGTATCTGCCATGAGAAACATCAAAGAGATACCAATTTGTGGTGTGAATACCACGATACAAATGGACACCGAACAGGGGACTATCGACATCTCCAGGGAAAAAGTGGCAACGCTACTAAAGAATGGTCACCTCAAAGAATTCTTGAGTGACCGAGCTAAGAACAACTACGGGCGTAACTGAGACAACGCGAAACCCTTGAAAGCAGGAGAAGATTCCCCTTGTCAAACAATCAACATGATCTTCGAGGGAAACGAGATTAACGGGATCACCTTTTCAGCAACAAAGAAGACGAAAGTATCAGTAACGCATAGCAAAAGGCTCTTGGAAGACGATATCACTTTTACGGAGGAGGACACAGACGGGTTTCTACTACAACACAACGATGCACTGGTAATTTCTTTAAATGTGCTAGATTTTAAGATTAAACGTGTTCAAGTGGATCCAGGGAGTTCGGCTAATATCACATAATGGAGAGTATTGGAGCAAGCTAAACTCACCTGAAGCATTATTCCGGCCACAAACCTCACCAGATTCAACCTTGCAAGTGTGATAACTCGAGGAGAAATTTTATTACTCACAAACGCTGAAGGAGTAATGAAAATAAATATTTTCGAAGTGGTAGATGATGATATGGGATACAACATCATTCTGGGAAGGCTATGGTTGCACGAGATGAAAGCTGTACCATCAACGTACTATCAATTACTGAAGTTTCCAACACCCGAGGGAATTAAGCAGATAAGGGGTGACCAATCGGTGGAAAGGGAGATGAATTCAATTTTGGTCTCCAATAGCAAAGGAAAGGAACATGTGGCATAGCAATTACAGGGCCCGACACCTACTCCTGAACTAGATAAAGTTAGCCAGGTGTCGGAAGATAATCAGGTGCTGAGATAATTCCAAGTTCTAGAAGAGACTGATGTGACGAAGTCCACAGTGGAAGAGCTGGAGCAAGTGGCATTGTTCGAGGAATTCTTAGAAAGGAAATTCTACCTAGGGACATGATTGCACCCAGAACTCAGGTCCGACTTCATTATTTTCCTTAAATCTAACGCCGATCGTTTTGCATGGTCGCATGAGGATATGACAAGTATCCCGATGGAGGTAGCCGTATACAAGTTAAGCTTGGATCCTAACATACATCCGGTAAGACAAAAGAAACGCCTGATCGCCGAAGCCAGGAGTAAATTCGTCAAAGAAGAGGTAACCCGCTTACCTAATATCGGTTAAATCCGAGAGGTAAGATATCCAGACTGGCTAGCTAATGTAGTGATAGTTTCTAAAAAGAACAATAAGTTTCGCATGTGCGTAGACTATAAAGATCTTAATAAGGTGTGCCCGAAAGACTCGTTCACACTGCCAAACATCGATCAAATGATTGATGCCACGACCGTGCACGAGTTAATGAGTTTCCTCGATGCTTATTCCGGGTATAACCAAATTAAGATGAACCTGGAAGATTAGGAAAAAACTACATTTATAACAAATTTCGGTATATATTGTTACAATGTGATGCCCCTCGGGTTGAAAAACGTCGGAGCCACTTATCAACGGCTCGTGGACAAGATGTTTGAAAATCAAATAGGAAAAACTATGGAAGTTTATATAGACGATATGCTTGTCAAGTCTTCAAATGCAGGTGATCATCTTAAACATCTGCAAGAGGCTTTTGACATCCTAAGGAAGCATAATATGAAGCTTAATCCCGAGAAATGCGCATTCGGGGTCAGCTCAGGTAAGTTTTTGGGATTTCTGGTATCACAAAGGGGGATCGAAGTAAAACCCAATAAAATTAAGGCCATAGAGGATATACTGGACCAACTGACAAGCGTGAAGGAAGTCAGCTTACGGGGAGATTGGTAGCTTTGAGTAGATTCATTTTTCGATCGTTTGGAAAAGTCTTATCGTTTCTTCGCACT